TTTTTTTTTTTTTTTTTTAATTTCATTAGTCTAGTTTTTGGTCAATGGTAAAACCCAGATTTTGGATTGCCTAAAATACCCCCAGTTTTGGCATACAGCTGGCCACGTTACATTTTCGAGGGGGGATAAAGAGAGACCACAAGGCATGGAGCATAATGTTCTGTGCACTTCATCATTCTCACGTGCCCATTAGCACCTACATTCCCCGGATTATATTATAAACTTATTAATGTGTTCTAATTTTCTTTATTTTTTTCCCTTTTTAACTTGGAATAAATTTGATAATTAGATTGTTCAGTTAATTCTGTAACTTCTGTTGCCAGCGCATAATTACACTCGTACGAACATTATAATCTTTCACATTTATGTCCTATAATATATGCGCATATGAAATTGCTCACCCAATGTTAAGATTTTATGATTTTTATTTGAATATTTATGTATTGTGTATGACATGTTAATTTTCTGTGACACTAATTGATGTTCATATTATATTAATCCGTATCTCCATGGATATGATTGCATTCATTTCCCTCAAAAATGTATATTATAAATTTAGTTTATTTTACCTTTTTTTTAATATTATTTGCAATATATATATCGTTATCTAACCAGCTTAAATGAAAAAAAAAAAAAAAAAAAATCTTGATTGATTCCAATTTTTTTTAAGTTTTTATTTATTTGTCTATTTTGGGTTAGTACGAGGAACTGAATTGAATTTGTTATATATATATAACATTGTATTCGTGTCTATTTACATCATTTTCACACATTATAAGAAGAAATAGCAGAAGTAAAGTAGGATCCGTATGTATATATACAACACTCCTATCCTATATGAGACGTCGCACTCATCAAAGACCGACAATGAGAAATAGCACTGCGCCAAAAGGCCCAAAACGACATCGTTCGTGCACAACAAAAGGTGCTCTACTGTACATTGTACTATTTTCCATATACGGCTGACATTATATTTAGCTATTTAAAGAAATTGCACACACGGTTATACTCAAAATATAATTAACAATTGAAGCAAAGTATTTTAACCATCATTTTAGATTGAATTCAAATTTTGTATAATCAGATTGCAATTATAGTATAATATATAAGGATAATTACCAAAATGCAATACATTGTAGTCAAAGACAGCTATGTGGAATTCTTCACATAGGGATAGATATATACGAGTGGATTTAGCAGTGATAAAAGATTAAAAGGTTAAACTTTACAGTTGGATAATAACATATATTAAATCGTGTGACATTTTACAGGGAGATGCTACGGACTCGTTACGGAATCATTCCGTCGGAGTTTGTAACAATTAGATTAACTATCTTCGACGATTACATAATGATCTAACGGTTACAAACTCCAACGGAATGGTTCAATATACCGTAGTATTTCCCCATTTTACAATACATTGAATGGGTTCGTCTAATCGTTAAACTGCCTTACACCCAAAATTTGTGTATTGGCTCAATCCAAAATCCATCTGTTGTCTACTCTACTGTCCTTTATTATTCATCCCTATATTTGCACATCTTACATAATACAACATTATATTATACTCTACAAATTTATATATATAAATATATTTTTTATATATATAGTCTTGTCTTCTCCTCCAAAAACACACACAATATACACTATTATTCATCAAGCTCATATATATATATACACCCACAAACACATACAAAATAACTTATCGATTAATTTTCATCAAAAAAATTTTTTAAAGAAAAAAAACATGACTATGATGATGAGCAACAACAATGGCGGCCACGACACATCGTTGACCAAAGTCTTCGTCGGAGGATTGGCTTGGGAGACTCCCAAGGAGGCCATCAGACACCACTTTGAAAAGTACGGCGAGATTCTCGAGGCCGTCGTCATCTCCGACAAGCACACCGGCCGATCCAAGGGCTACGGCTTCGTAAGCTTTCATCTCGTCCAATTATATTCATTTTCGATTTCTATTTATTTATCATCATTTGTTTTATTTGATTTGATTTTCGATGACGTGTGCGCTTCTCAGGTCACTTTTAAGGACGTGGACTCGGCCAAGAAGGCGTGCGCGGACCCCACGCCGGTCATCAACGGCCGCCGTGCCAATTGCAACCTCGCCGCCCTTGGGTCCCGCCGCCCCGCCGTGCCGCCGACGCCGCAACCTGTCCACCAAGGTACATTACAAAATTAATTAATTAATTGCGTTATTTTCAATTTTGGCGATTTATTTATTTCGCAATGTATAATACGCGGTTTAGTGAAAAATGTAATGATTTTGTCAATATTTTATTTTTAAATCTCGACTTTATCAAGGAGTGAATGTTGGACCGAGGGCCGGTGGAGCATGTGCACCGCTGCCGGCGCAGAATCACGTGCAGTGGTATTATCCGGCGGGTACGCCGGCCGTTGCCGCCGGTTCACCGTTTCATCACGGCGGCCATGGCCCTCAAGTGGTCCCATTTTATGGATACCCTCCGGCCTACTTTGCAGCCACCGACATAAATTACAATCATGTGAGTATAAATTATTTTATTTTTTTTTTTTTTTTGTAAATTTTGATTCTTCCAATTTCTTGATAATATGAGAGATTGTCACAATATTTATATTTTCCAAGTACAAATGTGTGCTTTGGCAATAAATAGTTTGCTAATAGACTGATAAGTGATAATTAGATATAAATAACATGTAATTAATCTTAATTAAATATGTAATTAATTGGAGGTAGTTGAATGTAAATGGCCAGCAAGATTTTTCCATGGATGGTATAATTTGTTGATGATGAGTGAGGAGATCTCTATAGTTGTCACTTTTATGAGATCTTTAAAGGGCTTTTGTTGAAAATAATTTTTTATTTATTATTTTGCGTGAAAAACATTTTTTTTTCTTATAAAAACAATATTACACTATGAAATTGATTTGTAAATTGAATTTTTGAAATTACATATGATAAAGATTTATAAGATTAGTTTGCAGATCGAACTAACGCAATATACATAACAAGCATTCATTGATCTTTTTATTATAATATTACAAAAATTATAATACTAATATCATTAAAAATATTATTATTATTTTTCTTATAACCATAAATGTAGTAATCAATGGTATTTTTTTTCCTTTTAATACAAGGTTTATTACCTTATTAGATGATTAATTGATAATTGATTATTTTAATAACTTAGTTGGTGTACACTATGCAGAAACTGGGCTTCACTGGTGGGTCCTACATGAATGGGCATTTTGGTCAATTGTACCCAGGGCAGGCTATGGTGGGTCCCAATACACTGATGCCAATGTACCCTCTGTACCATTACCCACAATCACAGGCAATGGGCCTTCCGGCCCACATGTACTCACCCACAGGTGGCCCAATTCCCCAAACTGTCCCTGTCTTTATATCCAAGCCCACATCCATTGCACGCCCTAATGCAGGTATAACATGTATAGCCAATTAGCTATTTAGCATCATCAATATTGAAAATTTCGAAAAAAAAAAAAAAACTACCTAAATAAATTAATTAATTAGGAGTTAATTCATACTAAATAAATTAAAATAAAGACCTTATGCAATTTTTCATGAATCTCTAATACATGCATAAAGTTAAGGGGAATAGATCAACGAGAGATTCTACGGTTCTGTTATGGAACTATTCTGTCGGGGTTTGTACCGTTAGATCAACTACTCACGACGATTACATGATGATTTAGCGGTTATAAATTCCGACGAAATGCTTCCGTGACGGGACTGTAGCATTTCCCATAATCAACTCATAGCAATAATATAGCATGCTCGTTGGCTCCTTTTATTTTATTATTATTTATATGTTGAATGATATTAAATAAACAGAGAGAAGAATCTTTGAATCACATGGTCCAAAGCAAGATTCAGACATGACCATGTGAAATTTAGCTCATAGAATCATCAGATGCAACAGCTATAAGTAACTAAAATAATCATAGATAGAACAGTGTATTTTCGGGATATGCTACGGTCCCGTTAAAGAACTATTTCATCGGGGTTTGTAACCGTTAGATCAACTATCCCGAGGGTTACATGATGATCCAACGGTTACAAACCCCGACGAAATAATTTCGTAACGAGACCATAGAATTTCCCGTATCTTTATATCCAAATTGAAAGATTAATAAATAAGTTCAAATAAAATGAAACATTACGTTCTAGGGTTTTCACATTCCATGTATACATTTATGTATTTTAGTTTTGTTTGTTATTTATAAAAAAATAAAATAATTTCAGTTATTTTATTTGTTTTGAACCTGATTGTGAATTAATTGGTATTGAATTTTACAGTTAATTTGCATGGCTGTGGAGTGAAATAGGTACAGCAATTGGTGGGGAAAACAATTGAAGCTTTGTTATTAAAAGATGGAGCAATGAAATAATAGGGGAAAAGAGGTGCAAAAATAACAAAAGCAAGGAAGAATGGTGGCTGCTCAGAACAACATTATTATCATATCTGATGTAGCTCTTTTTTTTAATTTATTTTTTATTTTGTTATTGACATTTTTTTTCATTATTAGGAGTATTCTAATTCATTCATTTTTTTTTTTATTTTTTTTGTTTATTATCTATTTGCTCTAACCTGGTCCATGCATCTCTGGATGTACAAAAGAAAATGTTGTTAGCATTTGTCATTTGAGATCATTTCTATGCCTTTTCATTTGTTAAACTCCACATAAATTTTCTTTTAAAATGTTACAATATTTGTCTTCAAAAAAGTCAAAACGATCGAATTGAAACGGAACCAACCAAAAACCGAGCCAAAACCGCATCAATTCAGCTCGTTTGTTCAATTCGGTTCAATTTTATTCACCCCTACATTCCAACCAATCTATATAGTTAAGTTATTAACCCAACTTTTCATATTTTCTTTGTTAACTATAAAAATAAAGAAAAAAACTATAGAAATCAAGCAATTTTATACAATCCCAATGTCTGCATATTACCTATAGTAGATGAAATTTAAAATCATGGGCCGAGCCTCAATAGGCAAAATCATTTCTTGTTACAGCACAATAAATAGTATTTGTTGTCAGCCCACATTTTGTGGACCTGCTAAAATATAGCCCATTTGTATAGATTATACGGTTCTAGTCATCATTTCTGGTTCGCTTCCTCGAACGTTCACTTGAAGATGGAAAAAATGGTAAGCAGCTTGACGTGTTTAAGAAGTTTCGAGTTCGAGTCCTTCTGAATATAGAAATTTTTTATTGAAAGACTCACCGACTATTGTCAGGTGTGCGACTCGGATTGATCCATCCGATTAGTGAGGGCAAACCTCCAATACTGCAAAAAAAAAAAAAAAAAAATCACTGTCGCTTAACTCGGAGAAGAAGAAGAAGAAAGAATTGCAGAAAGAAGAAAAGGCATAAATGGGGTCATCGTTTCAGGGTGCAAACACGACAGCAAAGGGAATTTACAGAAACCTTGTCAAGGCAGTGAGGACGCACGTTGGAAAAGAAGAACACAAAACCCATTTCACAGATTTCATCATTCAGGAATTCAGAAGGGGCGTTAACTCTGAAAACCCGCAAATTCTGAAGCTCGCCCATGACTACACTTTCTATCTTAACAGCGTTCATTATCACAAGGTGCTCCCTTTTATTCTCTTTACAGATCACTTCTTTTTGTGCGTTCTACGTGTTTGATGTTTTGTCCCTGTTAACGTTTCTCTATGTATTCTGATTTCTTGATTCTTTTGTTTTTTTTTTTTTAGTCATGCTAGTTATGTATTGTATGAATGGATTCAATTGATGTGTATGTGAAGCAAATTCGTGTTTAGGTGTGTATCTCTTCATGGGAATTTTCATCATTTTAGTTGTGATAAAGTTACATTTATTGCTTGGGTGACGAATCGTGCTATCTTGTCGTGTTCGAATTTCAGTGTCCTGTTATTTTGTTATCTATTTTATGTGATCATATGTATGATATTATATCTGAATTTAACTTTTTTTAATTCATTTCGAGCTTTGCATGTCGTGCCCATCGTGTCATTTAATTCTTTACTTTTGTTTTTAAATCATGTTATGCTAGCCATTGCTGCCCTTATTATTGCCTAGTTAGATACATTATCTCTTGTTTAGATGCGATCCTCAATATTTGTTGATCCATTGTCTCGGATGATTATTTTCCCGAGAAATTGTGGGAAAACGGATCAGATTTCAGGTACTAACACTAATGGCTTAAATCATTTGCCCAGTTATTCAAAATCTGTTTTTTTTACTGAACATATTTGTCTGATTTCACCATTCATGGCAAGACTTCTCCTTATTTCTGTTTTCTTCTTTACCTTAATGTTTTTTTTTGCGTAAACAATTCATATTCATAGCTTGGATTTGTGTAGCTACTGTGATTTTATAGTCGTGATAGTTACCTTTAGCTTTAATATTCAAACTTTATCAAGACAAGGAGCAATAATGCTGAGATTAGAGCACTTGTGTGTTGACATTTTAGGAGCTATCATCTCGTCTGGAAGAAATATCTCTGAGGATTGTTTACTTAGACAGTTAGACTTCCTTCAGTAAAATGGGTTTACTAAGACATCACATCAGACATGAAAATGTTAAACCACTAAATCCTCACCATTAAACCCAAAAGTATCAAATGTCCGGTTCATATTTGTTTGTAGTATATGAATGCATGCATGATAGTGTTTTGTTACAAATAGAGAGAAACTTTGGTAATAATTTGAGGGCTTGTTGCGATTCTACATTTTTTATAAGAAAAATAAGCCAAATGTCAAGGCCAGTTCTCTATTGTATCACGTCCCAAGTTAGAAAATAATAATAATAATAATAATAAAGATTACATGTATACGTGATGCCTAAATATTGCATTTTGGTTTGAGATACAGGAGTTGTTGTTCTCATACAATATCGCGGTGGATAGATCTGTTGAGTTGAAAAAAGTACTCGGAAAATCTGCTTCTAGTGTGGGCCTCCAGCTTCCTGAAGTCTATCAATCCTGATGATATAAAGGTTTTTATTGGAAATGCACTTCTGTTTATATTTTTTGGCATGTTTGTGCTTGCTAAGGTGAACTTTTGTTTAGAAATAATGCCCTTGCTCGGTTTCATTTTAGAAGTCTGAAGCTGTTGAGGGGCAGTGAGTATTAGCAAGTGGTAGAAGTGTCGAAAATCTTCTTTTTCGATTGGCATCTCCCGTGTTTGTATTATGGATTGTTTGCAAACACTAAAAAGACTTAAAAGCGATTATCAGGTTCAACTTTCGATAGGAAAATCTTCCTTATTTTAAATAGTTTGTTAGATTCATATCATGTCGGATTTAGGATAGGCCTGCGGTAAATAGAGACCTTGACAATAGTATAGGGAAATGTTACGGTCCCGTTACGGAACCATTCCGTCAGGATCTTTAACCGTTAGATCACCATGTAACCGTCGATGATAGTTGATCTAACGGTTACAAATCCCGACGGAATGGTTTCGTAACGGGACCGCATCTCCCAATAGTATAAGTATGGATTTTTTTTATTTTTATTTTTTCGTAAAAAGGTATGACTGGCTAACCGTTAACTTCTCACCACCAGCATAACTGACTCGTTAGTCTTTACATGGCAAGGAATATTTTACAACCACGGTCCCCACACTTT